TTTTTCGATATATAATAAATACGATATAAAAATCAAGGGAGAATCATTTTTAGACGATTTTGACCTTCATATAATTCAATTATTTCAATAATACCTTACTTTTTTTCAATATGTAATAAATACTATATCATTATTGTCATTTATGAAATTTATGTTATTAATTTTTAATTAATTAACATTCACATTAACCTAAATTCAATGAATTTTCTTTGATGAATCTTGAATTACATTAACATAGAGTTATTATAGATGAATTTATTCATATTCATGTATCTAAAAATTTTAATGAATATTTAAATTTATATATTAACAATTAATTTTTATATATCCAATGTAATATAGAAAAAATTGTGTATTTATAATATTTCGTTATTACAAAAAATTTGAATCACGATGAAATACGATAACGTGCTTAGACCATTTAAAATAAAATATCATAAAAAATAGGCTACGCTGTCGTTTCACACCAAAATATATAGGTAAAGAACTCAGGAGAGGTTTCCCCTTGACAAACAGTTGAGGAAGCGAGTCGCCGGAGCCGAAAGCATTAGCGGCGGCTGAGGATGTAAAAAGGAAGGAAAATGGGAAAGAAAACGAAGAAGCCAGGGAAAGGAAAAGAAAAAACGGAAAAGAAAACAGCCAAAGCTGAGGAAAAACGAGCTCGCAGAGAATCCAAAAAACTCTCACCTGAAGATGACATAGATTCTATTCTGGTAAAAAGCTCCATATAACTGAAAAGATGAAAAAGAACGATAACATTATTAATTCACTTATAATATGAGCGCCATTATTGAATTTATTCATGTAAATCTTAGTACAGTAACATTTGTTTAGTTTAAATGATGAAGAAAGGGAGTATAGTAATGAATTGAAATTTTTTTGCTCGCAGTCGAGTATTCAAAAAGAAGAGGCCAAAAAGAAGGAAGTGCATATTGAAGACAACGTGCCGGCACCATCTCCGAGATCGAATTGCTCGGTATATTCTTTGAATTTTTTGGCTGACATATCTAATTTATATTTATTGATGTTTTTGAATTTAAATGGCCAGGAGTTTGTTTGGTTGTTTTACTTTTTATGCAGTTAACAATCAATCCTTTGAAAGACACGGAGTTAATTCTGTATGGAGGTGAATTCTACAATGGGAGCAAGGTCAGATCTTTTTAAGTATTTTGCATTAAATATAAAATTGGACGTTGGCCTTAGAAAGCTGCTTAATGGTATTGTATGGAAGCAACATGTGGTGTTAAGAACTCCCGCGTTGTATTGTTTTTTATTTTAAATTGTTGAAAACAAAGTGTCATTTTCTTTATATTGTTTGTGTTGACAAATTGCAACTCATGAATTTGAGCACTGGAACTGTGCACGCAGACATTTGTATATGGGGATCTATATCGATATGATGTCGAAAAGCAAGAGTGGAAATTGATTTCAAGCCCTAATAGTCCACCTCCTCGCAGTGCTCATCAGGCAGTCTCCTGGAAGAATTATCTTTATGTTTATGGTAAAATTTTCTGGCTAGATAAATGTACATAAATTGTGTAATGTTTTGGATGTATGTATGCATACGATAGACACAGACAGACAAATGCACATGTGCATAATATGCACAGACTATGGTTGTTGCCGGATGGATAAGAATATATTTTTTCTTTCTTTTTGGTGTTATTAGGTGGTGAATTCACGTCTCCTAACCAAGAGCGTTTCCACCATTACAAGGTAGACATTACATATTTTGATGGAAACAAGAGAATGTTGTGAAAGATTGAAATTTCAATTTTGAAATTTGTTGTTGCAGGACTTCTGGATGCTGGACCTGAAAACAAATCGGTGGGAGCAGCTAAATTATAAAGGTTGTCCTAGTCCACGTTCAGGTCACCGCATGGTAAAGTTTTGAGTTGTTACGTGTTTGACTTCCTTTCACCATTGAGTTTTGAGGTTTTACATATGCTTCTATTTCCCTTATTTTGCAGGTCTTGTACAAGCACAAGATTATAGTTTTTGGAGGCTTCTATGACACTCTTAGAGAAGTGAGGTAGTGCTTTGGTTCTTTTCCCGACTTGTATGTTCGCGTAGATGTGCGATGAGATGAAATTCATACTATTGTTAAGATGTTACATGCTCAACTCTGTTACGTTGAAACTGGTGTATGTAGGGCTGATTAACCAATTTATTCTTCACTTTACTGATGATTTGATGGTGAATTTTGTTGTCTGGTTTCCACTCTCTCTTTTCTCAATATCACATAAAATATTTGATGATTTGTTAAAAAAATGCAAGCATCAATTGTTCTAGACAGATAAGGTATTGATGATAATTGTCTTACTGTATTTGTTAAGAACAGTTGGTATTTCTTTGGGTGTGGGCTATAAAAAATTGTTAGTGCCTGTCGCATTTCTGGTGATACCCCTTTTAGGCACCTACTGTTTAAGATTGCAAGAGGAGATTTTGGAACTGGAGAAGGAAGCATATGTGGAAGTCAAATAGTGTATCTTCAATGATGTCTTTAAGTAATAATAACACATAATTTTTCAAACTTTAAGGTCATTGGTTTGGAGGCTTGACAGTTGACAATCTGTAAAGATTATTGGAAGTTGACGGACTTTAGAAGCTCAAACCTCATTGCTTAGTGGAGTGCCAAATTTTCTGTCAAGCAACTTTGGCTTGATAGAGCTAGAAATTTTGTTTCTGAACCTACTCCTAGCTTTTATCTCTGGCAGAACCCTTAGATAAAGACGTAATTTTCATCAGACTTTACAAGCAACAAATAGATAAGTAAATAAGAAAGAACACTAAAACATCACTTTTACTATAAGTTTCTGTTGGTTTCTGTACTGATGATACTTCTCATGTTCCTTGCTTTTTTCTCTCTGAAATGTTCTGTAATCTTATGTTTCATCTCTCTGATATGTTTTCTATCCCTTACATTACGAGTTTCCATTGCTTGTTTTCTTGTAACTTTATTCTTACTAGCTGATGTGATACTGTTTATCATTCTTTGATGCAAGTTTTCTATGGCATTTTGTATGAACCATACCTATATGCCTCTATGAAGCCATGGTACTTTTTTCCTAATATTGTTCTTGTTTGCCATCTAAGTGTCTTCCATTGCTGCAGGTACTTCAATGATTTGCACATATTTGACCTTGATCAGTTTAAGGTACAAGACTTCATATCCAAATTTCCGTTGCTTGTATTTTCAAATTCAGATTCTTATGGTTAAATCTATGACTTGATGCATTGTAGTGGCAAGAGATAAAACCTACTCCTGGATGCATGTGGCCAAGTCCTCGAAGTGGCTTCCAGTTTGTTGTTTACCAAGATGAGGTTAGTACATGAACAATACACACGATACTAGCCAACATTATTATATATGTTTTCCAAAGTAATCTGTTGTTGATGTCTAAGTATATATCAGCGTCACTCCCAACATCAGTAAGGAAAATCAATACAAAGTATGTACAATGTGCTCAACACATGCAAACACTAACTTATCACATATATAATAAATGGAGGAACTGGGACATTCCCAAAACCGTATTGCTGTAGACTTGAATGTGATATCAATGTTATGTCATTGACAAAACCCGTGAATGTGGTTGTGGTTTATTCCATTTGCTTCTGCCAATTATTTGGTCACCATTCAAGTACCATTCTTTTTGGGGAACTTGCTACTGCTCAACTAAGTCTTAAATTATTACACTCTCAAGATTAACTGGTTAATATTTTTCTCATCAATATTTCTTTTAGATTTATTTATATGGAGGGTATTCAAAAGAGGTTTCATCAGATAAAAGTGTCTCTGAGAAAGGAATTGTTCATTCAGACATGTGGTGCCTTGATCCCAGGACTTGGGAGTGGAACAAGGTCTGTATGTTAATTCTTTCACTCTTTCTCTATTCCCTATTACTAATGATATGCATATGAAAATGAAGTAGAAATTCTTTCTCTTCTACCTTTCTTTCTGACCATTTCTATCCTTCCGCACACCACCCTCACAATGTGTGTGCGCGCCATGTGCTTTTGGGTGTTAAATGTCTCCTCATTAACATGGATTTTATGTGTCTATTGGGTGTCTAGAAAATTCAATCTTGTTGCTGTCAATTATCACCAAGATAACCTGATCAATGAAAATATATAACGACTATTATAGTGTTTGTCTCCAGACATTTGGTACTTTATGTTGCTATAGGCATTGATGATGTGAGAATAATTTGTATGGTAATAATATAGTCTCCCGTGGTTCTCTACATTGCATTAGATTTAATAATTGTCTTAGTTTTTTTGTTAATCATATTGTTTATTTTGATAATCACAAACTATTTACATTTGATTTGACCAAAAGACAGATATTCTCTTTCATATAAAAGCCTGGTCCTTATATAATCACTTAATCAATTATTAACAGGTCTAGTCATAATTACTTTAATCAATTATTAACGGGTCAAGTCAATACATCATGCATTCATAGATAAATGCATTTGCGTATGTAATATAAGTTAATATCAAAGTCTTCAGCATTTGTTCCACGGAACCATTTGGTTTTAGAGCAATTCGCTTTTTTCTTATTCGAATTTCGTACAAGTTAATTTTTGTACGGTGAAGGAACAGTGTTCTCTGGCCAGCTCCATATATGAAGTACCACATTTTCTGTTTCTGTTTTTAGTTCCAATGCTTTGCTGAGATACTTCTAGTCTGTGGCTTATTTGCCAAAATAGTGGCATGATTCAATTGGTGTTCAGAATTTTTGTGGAAGTTGTACCTGAGAATATTTTCTTGAAGGTAAAAAGATGAAATTTTGAAAGGAATATTGATTAATGAGTACACATTTTATGTTGTCCACATCTGTGAAATAGATTACCTATTTGTTATGTAAGAATTTTTTTAGGTGCAAATAGTAACCTTCTGTTTTGTTGGTGCTATTTAAAAGGTGAAGAAGAGTGGGATGCCTCCAGGACCTCGTGCTGGTTTCTCTATGTGTGTTCATAAAAAGAGGGCTGTGCTATTTGGTGGTGTGGTGGATATGGAAATGGAAGGTAATTTCTTTATATGCTCACTTTGCTTTTCAATATCTTTTGATAGATCCACATCATCCTGGAGACTCAGCCTATACTTTTCTTGATTCCTAAATTTGCAATTTTAGTAGCTTGTGGAAATTATTTGACGGAAAATCCTTATAAATGCAAGTCCTTTGCTTTATAAATAATATTGTGTCATAAAGAGAAGATGCATGGTTTACAATAACAAGAAGTGCTTATCATGAAATGGGGAAATAACACCTATACAGATAAATTAAAAGTCAACGGGTTAACATTGTGTAACTCATGTAAATAGGACATAAGTTGCATATTCACGTGCTAGACACGCTCCCCCACATGTCGAATGCAATTTGAAAAAAATATATCTGGAGATTCCTAGGTCGAACACAACGACAAAAGTAGTCAGTGGAAGAGGAGGCGAAGTTCGCCGGAGTACGACTATGGTGAGAATGTGGTCGGCGATCGCTCATAAACCCTAAGCTAAACATGAAACTGAAGACTGTTGGTGGAGAAGAAACCCTAACATATTCCATTGAATTCTCACCTAACTAAAAGACAAAACTGTTCTTTGTTTCTTAAAGTGGGTAACATTAAAAGCAAAAGAAGTTGTACATGTTTCTCTATTAAAAATTTTGGAGGGCCCAATTGGAAAGTCAATCATTTATAGGTTAATACAGAAGTTCAGAAATTAATCAGTCATATATTCTCCCAATAAAGAACCATAGACTAACATAAAATAAAAAAAAATATATTTTAATTGATTAGTACCCAACATGTGTCCTACCTTTCTGGAAAGTCACGTGTGGGCGTGTTTTTCTTGTTGCTTGCCTGTGTGCTTGCAACCTAGACTGGGACCATATATGTGTCATTTGAAGAGAGGTTTTATGAGTACTGACAGTGGGTGAAGTGATTGAAAATATATGATAATCTGTGGCATACCAGAGGAATTGGCTTCTACATAGAACAAAGTGGAGAAGATATTTTGTGTACCACAGTCCATATTCTGTGAGGTAAGTCTTTGTTAGGTGTTTGATCTTTAGATGGAAACCATACAAGCTTAGCAACATTTCTGAATAAGCTGAAGATAGGATATTTAAGGTAAACTAAGAACAGAATGAAAATTTAATAATTTTATTCTGATGATATATAGAGATAGAAAGGGAGGTCAATAATATTTCATTGTCTGCTTGATCTTGAAATCATTATTCTATCAGTAATACGTAACATGCATTTGGAAGTTAAGAAAGACACTCGCCTTCTTTTAGAAACTATCACGCAGGGTAGTGTGACCCGCTTGATTGAAGATTTTGAGTCTGTTTCTTCTGTTTCCCATTGGCTTGAGTCAAGATATAGCTCTTCTTTTCTACTGAAACATTTCATACTCTAATCTTTAATTGAAATTGTGCTCTCTTTATCTACAGGTGACCTAATGATGAGCTTGTTCTTGAATGAACTTTATGGCTTCCAATTAGATACTCATCGCTGGTAACCCACATTTCTGTCCAATTGATAATATTAGTAATTAAGTCACCATGACCATCTAATGACATGTGGCATACATCTTTTCCGCAAGTCTGTACTTTTCTAGAAGTGAATATAATTTGTTACGACAAAAAGAAAAAGGAAAATCATTCCTTTACATTGTGATCGGATAATAAACTTTTTTTTCTAGCATCCCATAACTTTTGTGAATAATAATTATTTTGAGTCAATGAAAATATCATTCCTGTGTTGAATAAAGGTACCCCTTGGAGCTGCGAAAGGAGAAGGCAACTAAGGATAAGGTATTCTTGTTTACGTACTTCTTGCACATGCTCTTAATTATTGAATTTGCATATTATGGAAATGTCTGTTTTCATCCTTCGAGATTTCATTCTTTAGTTTCTTAACTTCTTATATTTAGGCTCGTATAGTATTTTTACCTTTTGTCGTTTCAAAGCATTTCGTGACTGATGCATTTGATTTCTTGTATAAATTGTTTTGCAGTTGAAGAAGAGTTCTGGCGAGAGAGACAGTGATGTGTCCCTTGAAAGTAAGCAGGGTGTGGTGGACAGGGAAGATGCTGTACCACATGGTGAAGATGACAATTCAGATGACGATGATAATGAGATTGAAAGTGACATGAGTAAAATCTCTTTTAATGTGAAAAGAAATTTAGCGACTACTAATGGCAAGGCAGCTACTGAATCTGACGAGAAAGCCCGTGATCCTGGCAAAAAAATTGCTGTGCAAAATTCCAGTTTACCAGAGGTTTGTCACCATTTGGAAAACTCTGTCATGGCTTCTACTTTCATCTCATCTCAGTCTTTTTACTCCAGTCTAACTTTCAGATAGTGAAGCCTTGTGGACGTATCAATTCCTGTATGGTTATGGGAAAAGACACATTATACATCTACGGGGGTATGATGGAAATTAGAGATCAAGAGATTACCCTTGATGATCTCTATATGCTTAACCTCAGCAAACTGGATGAGTGGAAATGCCTAATACCGGTTTGTTTGTTCTCTCCTTATCAATGTTTATGGTCTTGTGTTATTTGATTTTATCTTCGTTTAGTTAAATTCTCCATCCATTTATATCTTTATCCGAGTTTGCACTCCCTTGTATGAGCATCTCTGTGTTCAAATCACGCTCATACATATCGGCCATCTGGTAGGTGGAAAAGCATATGCTCTTTCAATTTATTGATTATTTTCACTTCCGTTGAAAAATTGATTATTCATAGACTTGTGATTCTGTAAGAAGGTGAATTTATTTCATTGGAAATAACTCTATTTATATAATTAACATTACGTACATGCGCTATAAAATTTTATGATGTGCCTGCTTTCTGTTTTTGTTAATATTGTTTGTCCTACACAGGCATCTGAATCAGAGTGGATTGAAGCCTCAGATAACGACGATGAGGACGATGATGAAGATGATAGTGAAAATGAAGAGGGTGACGATGAAGATGATAGTGAAGAGTCCGGTCATGAAGATGGCGATGTAGAGGTTTTTCGCTTATCAACAGAATCCTGAAAGATAACCATTCTTCTATTTTGTCTCTGTGCTTTTTAAAGAGAACTAATTTACATGTTTTCTTGTGAAGGCTACTAGTAGTGGGGATAGGTCACTCCAAATGGGAGATGCCGTAGCTATAATAAAAGGAGAAGGAAAAAATCTTAGAAGAAAGGAAAAACGAGCCAGAATTGAGCAAATCAGAGCGAGTCTTGGTCTTTCTGATTCACAGAGAACACCAGTGGTACAATAAACAAGATTTTAGTTCATTTTTCTTCCTTAATATAGTCAAGTACTGCACAGTCCATCTTACCAAACTAGTCTTAATGGAATAACCTTTGCTTGATATTTGCTTCTATTTGGCTTTGCTGCATGACGATATATCCTTCTTGTCGCTCTCTAATATTAACAACTGACTTGTTTTTCAATGTTGTTTGATGAAGCCTGGGGAATCTCTGAAGGACTTCTACAAACGTACAAATATGTACTGGCAAATGGCTGCATATGAACATACACAGCACACCGGAAAGGTTTGTTTCTCTATCCTGATAAATAGAAAATATACTGACTTTTACGTCTAATTAACTTTGTTTCATTTGTAATTTTTTTTTAGTTCTGTCTAAGTTATTAGTTGGCAAGATTGTAATTTACTTGTTTGGTTATTTCAGTTTGATGCCTTGTAATAAGTACCAAATCTAACTATGGTTCAAGAATTGGTGAACCTAAGATTTAATTTACTTGTGTTACTCTTCTGCAAACATTTTGCTTGAACTTCACACATTGTTGAGGCAAGTTCAACTAAAATTTATGTGGAATGATACCAAAGATTAGAATCCATTTCTGGAATGAAAAAAGAACAGAAATTATGAAGCTCGCTCTGTAAAAGATATCTCTATATATTTGGGTCTTCGGGATTGCTTTTAGAGCCCTGGATTCTGATTGTCAAACGATCACAACTATTTTAGGTGTTTGATAAACTCAATAAAAATCTGATGATGGAAGAATTCATATCATGTGGCAGCAGCTTTCAGAAGGCTTATTTGGCTTATCAGATTTTGCTTTTATCTTCCCCTAAGTGACTTACTTAGAGGGCGTTTGGTGGGGATTAAAATTAAATTTTTAGTATATTTTGATAGAAGTTTTTGAAATATGTAGTTGAAAAATTGTGGGGACCTATGAAATATATGGTTAATATTAATTGTTTGACTTTGACTTTGACTCTGATTAAAATCTGACTAAAATTTGAGCCAAACAGGGGCTTAGTGAAAAGTGGATACCAGTGTTTAATTAGGACTTAGGAGTGAGGGTGGCAGGGGCTGCTTAATGTTCGGTATTCATTGGGCGTGCTAATTATAAAGCTCTCCTAACTAAATATTACCTCCATAGGCGTGAAAATTGATGTGATGAGTTGATGGTGTGGGGTGATAGAGATGATGTGCTATTTGAATGTGGGGACACGAGGAGGGTTTGAAAAAAGCTGCTGGCTGGTGGGGAACGGTTAAATCTTTCCTAGGAATAAGAATGTGTGGGACATCTTGTTTGGATTGTTCAAACGGGTCTCAGCCTAGGATCTTGGATATATTGGTTGTACATTGTGTGAGATCTGGTACTAGCGTGGCTCAGCAGATTGAGTGGCATCAGTTTTTATAGATATCGTGGGCAGCCTTCAACTATGGAGTGATGAGGGGGCAGGGAAACATAAATGGGGAGGACGACCAATGCCTCGTCCTTGATGGAATTCTCCTTTGATGGGTCGTTTAAAACATGCTTCATTGCTTTTGGGGCTGTAATACAAGTAGGGGGGGACGTACATTGGGTTGGGTGGGTTTTGGGCCGTACCCCGAAACCAAAACCGACCCAATTCAGAGTCAACCCGATTGTTAATCAACTTGGCTTATAAGTGAACTCTTTTAAGCTCAGCCAAACATGATGTATACATCTACCAAGAGAATAAAGAGGAAAAAAAAAAAAAAAAAAAGCATGTGGAAAAATCAATCAAACATATTGACATAATCAACGTCATTCAAGAAATTAACTCGAACTTCTAATTTTGTTGGGGGAAAAAAATTGAAGTCACTACTAAATGGGGTTGGACATGGAGAAGATGAACGAGAACTCAATAAAATTCAAGTAAATTACCTGGTTGGTAGGTGCCGGAGGGAGAGACTAGTGAGTGCATCGGAGAGGGAGACATCGAGAGAGAGAGAGAGAGATGGTGAGAGAGACAGCACACGGGTCTTAGGTAAGCTTTGGGGATTGGGTGTCTTACTATCCTTGGTCGGGACCTGGGTTTTGCGATCTACTGTTTTATTCCTCACGAGGGGAATAAAGTGGGCCACATAGTCGCTACTTATAATTTTGTTTGAGTTAGGTGTTAAATTTTTTATCGAGCATAGTCTCATTTTTATTTTGTTTGCACACTGCAGCGATACTTGAGATGATCTTTATGTTCAATGTCGAGTTTAGTAATTGTATACAAAAACAACAATAAAGTAGTTACCAATTGCTAAATTTGATACATAAAACAAATTAAAAGAAAAAATTTACCAGACACTAAACTGATACTTCTCGCAGCTAATTTTTTATTTAGGGTAGCTGAAGCTGATTCTCCTAAAATCTATAGCAATACCAACCAAGTCTTATGCTTAAATTTTTGGTCCTTTTGAAATTGTTTCTTCTGGTTTTTCTTGCACTTTCTTTAGCCTGTAATTCTGTTTTTGCATTTCTCAACGAAACTATGTGGTGACGATAATGTTCTCTTGGCACTATAGGAACTCCGCAAAGATGGTTTTGATCTTGCTGAAACTCGTTACAAGGAACTGAAGCCAATCCTTGACGAGGTATGCTTTAATTTTTAGTCGTTAAATTCGTCTACCAACAATGAATTATGCAAATCTTAACATAGTAACGCATACTATACATGTGGACACTTTAGTTGGCTGTTTTAGAGGAAGAACAAAAAGCAGAAGAGGCTGAAGGACCTGAGGCTTGTGGCTCTAGAAAGAAGGGTAATAAAAAGAACAAGCTTTCAGCAGCCAAGTAATTTTACTACATGTCATTATCCCAATTTAATAGGGATTTTGACTAATAGAACCCTTTTTTTTTTTTTTTTTTTTGCCCTATTTATTTTTTATGTTTTTTGTATTTGAAAATTAGAAATATTTTTATTTTGTTTTTGGGTTTATTGAGAAACATGAGTGACATGAAGGAGCTGTGTAGTGTAACATTATAAATTTTTTGGTTAATGATGCATTTATTAAAGAAAATGATTCAAAAAACTATGCATTTTAGCATATATTTTGTTTTTATTAAATGTATGTTGTGGTTGTTGTTGTCTTGTACCCTGAAATAAAGTAATCGATAGTTGTCATCATACGGGCATTGTGTCCAAATTGTGACAATTATGAAAGTTTTGTGAAAATTTTAAAATTAAAAAATTGAATGATCGAGTCATGAAGTTCATTAATGGACAGAGTTTCTAACCGGAGCTTTAAACAATTATGTTCTTGAAAACAGTTGTAATGCAATGGAACTATATGATCCCAATTTCATCTATTTATATAAATTTTGCAGTTAAAAAATAATGGAAAATATACAAGGAGAGATGTCTAATTTTAGGTGAATTGATCGAGGTGCCAAAATTTTTTACCTCTATAAATTAAAGGAAAAATAAAATGCTATTAGCGAGCGGAAGAATGAATTTAATAAAGGCATGTATGACATGACTTTTGATAAGTCAAAAGAAGCTTTTAAAACAAAGAAGTTTCCTTTGCACTTATTTGGATAATTTATTTAAAAAAAATATTTCGTGGGATTCGAAGTGTTTTTAAAGAAATACGATTTAAAGGAGTTTTCTTTAAAATCTCTTTTGTAGAAGATTAATAGTACTCATCACAATTGGTATTAAATACCAATTTAAGTGGTAATTACGTAACATTAAATGATAGATTCATTTAAATGCAAAGT